GGAAAAGCAAACTGTTTAGAATGTTGGAGGCAGGACTCAGGCAAAGCAGCCAGTGGATAGGGAGACCCTCTGAATGACAGATCAGAGAGCGAACTGATTTTGGAGCGTGTTGGAATGTTCAGGGGAGTCCATGACCAAAACAGGATTATATATACCAGAGGATACCAAAAGTTACATTAACAATAAACTCATGCATATGGAGCATATTGTATATCTAATCATACTGAACTGTATATTAATCAATAGTGTTCCTAAGTCTCAATATATGACAATATCTCAACCTCCTTAACATCCCTAAATTACAACACAGTGGATTATGAATAAGCACAAAGACTACAAATGTAACAATACTGCAGCTTGTACACCTTCCTCTAGTTTTAGCTTGTTCTAAATAATTAATACAAGACCTCCATCTTTCCTCTTATGTATATACACATCAGTATCATTTTTAAATATATGTTCTTCATCATAAACAGAAGTCTTGCATTAGCTTTGAAAATCAGAAGCTGCACTGAAACCCCATGGCAAACCCATTTTTTTCTGAGAGACATAAATGAAATGAAGCTTGCTGTTCTGTGCAGGGACTTTTCTCTCTCTTGTGTGCAAGGCACTGAAAGTTTCCTGCTTCCGCACACAGAGTTAATGCAGTTCTGTGTCTGCATAGTAATGATTATCTAGGCCCCATGATCTAGGCAATCCAGTGTTTGACTAGAGTTAGACTGCAACCATTTTTTGTATCTTCCAGAATTCTTACTCTGCCTTTTATCAGGTGTGAGTTTGTAAAGCAAAACAACCCAGACTGATTTACACTACTTCTGTGTCATACAAACTGTTCTTTTAAAAACACTGAATGAATGTTAATTTTCAATAAACGTGATACCACCATGCGCAATAGAGAAGGCGGAAGCAGTGTTCCCGCTAAGCTGAGTTAGTGTGAGCTAGCTCACAGTCTTTTAGCCTCTGGCTCACACATTTTTGTCTTAGCTCAGGAAGGATGGCTCCAGAGCAAACTAATTTATGCAGCTGCCAAATCGCTTGCTCACAACTTTAATGCATGTGATACCACCATGCACAATAAAGAAGGCGGAAGTAGAAACGATCAGAGCAGACTGCAAGAATGGATGTAGAAGTAGAAATGATCAGAGCAGACTGCAAGAATGGATGTAAAAGATAAAGGTAAATAATAATTAATAATCATCGTATTGTGGTGTGTGCAGTATAGCCAGGAGATCCTAAGATAGCTGTTTTAGAGTTATGCACCACTAGGTGGTGAGCTAGACTTGTTTTTAAGGCAATGGTTTGCCATTGCCTGCCTATGTGTCATGCCCCTGGTATTCCTTGGAGGCTGCTGATTGAAATACTAGCCAGGGCTGACCCTGCTTAGCTTTCGAGATCTGATGAGATTAGGCTAGCCTGGGCTATCCAGGTCAGGGCTTTTTTATAAAGTATTTTGAGCAGATGCTAAAAGAACTGAAGAGTAGGAAGAGAAGCACAAACACATGAAGAAGATCCGCCAGAAAATCTCCAGGAATATATTATGTATCTTCTCTCTCTTTTTTTTTTCCTGCCCAGGGGTCTCAGTTACAGAACAATTCTTTCCATAGTGATTGAATAAAAGAAAGAATTTTCCAAGTGTGAGGCAGATTTTCCAATAGAGACATCAGCCACTGCTAGAAGATCCCTAATTTCCTCCCAGGATTCACTTCATCTCTCATTTTTACAATCAGGGAATTTCAGTATCTGTGCCCAATAGCCATTTTATACATTTATACAGACTGAGGAGGCAGAATTGTGGACTGTAGTACCCTTTTTGACAAGTGCTCCTCCAGTGTAAAGAGATCCTTTCATATGGCTCTTTGCTCTCTATTTAGAAAAGGAACGAACCCTGGGAAGGCTCCTAAAGCTTTCCATTTTTCAAGGAAAAGGGAGGATTGGAACGATGAGTGTAACTCCAAAGCAACTCACGTAAAGCTGATCATTAATGTTGGCACCATGCTTCAGCAAGGTCTCCACCACTTTCTTATGCCCATACTGACAAGCAGCTAGCAGAGCAGTGCCTCCATCCTGAAGGGGGAAAAAACCAGACTGGGCACAAGGGAAGAGAAATAAACAAAGGCTGCAGAGAACAGAAAGTGCTGAACATTTCTTATTATTTGGCTCACAGAGGCTGTAAACAAATCCCTTCCCCCTGTGCAGTTTCTCCCAATTCCCCTTTACCTAAAATGCCCAACCTTTTAAAAGAATCTGAACCTTCCTCAGAAGTCAAGTTTTTGTCCACATTCTATTGTTTGTAGATGTCTGTCACTTTTAATTTCCTTCAGTGTTCCCAGTATGTGAAAAGACTCTTGGAAGACAGAGACTGTTCAGAGCTCTTTTTTTCTTCTCTTTCCTTTTCACTAGCAGAAATGCACTTTTCAGGGTTGGCAGGCAATACTTAACTCCAAATGACACAAGAAGGCAGCAAAACCCTCAAATATGCCACTTAAAGTAGATAGTGGGGATGCAGATAGGAGGTACTAAACTATTCCCAGACAATGGGAATGCAGATAGGAGGTACTAAACTATTCCCTTATCTTCTTGCCTTCCTGCAGCATCTCCCATCAAGGGCTTTTCTTCCAGCCAGGCTTACTTCTGGGATGAGAGCCAGATAAGGGAACAGTGACATTGGGCAGCAGACTGTGGGGAAATAAGCTATGGATGTGTGTGTCTAAATCCTTAGCATCCTTTTCCTATAAGCTTCCTTATATCCTGCTTTCTATATGATCAAGGGATCCTGCATTCTAAAAAGTACACTCACATCTGGTATGCACATACTTATTTTAAGGACTATTACTGAATAATGTTACATACCAGAAAAGATCACACCAATACCTTATTTTAGACAGCCACTAAATGTATGATGGGTGCCCAGTTTGCACAGTGCCCCTATCTTGTTGCTCTGGTAAACTTACTGAACAGTTTTATCCGCTCTGCCATTTCAATATGTGTCACCATGTTAATCTAGGAGTACATATCATTGCCCTTTGACTATTTTATGTTTCAAGAATCTGTAGATTTTGTTCTAATGGTGATCAAAAAATCCCGTAGCACTCAATCTGATTTGTCATTTACATAAAAAGCATCCCATTATCAAAGTTGCAAATCTGTAATTTGTTCATGTCATCTAGTGCTTTGTGATAAAATGGTAAACAACTTTTTCACATTCATTTCTACAAATGGCCCAATATTTTAAAGTATCTCCACTGCATCACCAAATAGACACAGTAAGCAAGCAGCTGTAATCTTTTTCCATTTCTATCAATTTACCCAAATTACACTGGCTCTTGCGTGCAGGGAAGGGCAACCTATGGGGTAGAGTGGCAAGCATGATTCTGTGAACTACGAACATTACACTGTCTTATGCGAAAATTCTTATCTGCATATAGGAGGATGCAAGCACCTGCATTACAAGGACCTGTGTGAGTACTGTATCGTCTCCCGTCAATGACAAACAAAAAGCACCCAGTTTCATGAACATACAATGGTCAAGGAGAAGAGGATGAAACAGACAGTCATTAAACATCAGCAATCTTTGGAACAATCCCTACTGAACCTAAGCTCAAGCAGCTGCAGCTGGAATGAACACACATTCATTTTATATGTACCTTTACCTCCCTCCCTCCCTCATTGTGTCCCTTAGGTCAAAATTTACATTGTGAGCACCTTGGGACAGAGAATTGTCTTCTTCTGTTCTTCTCAACAGATGGCGCTATAGAAATGATGTCTACGGTAACAATACTGTAGGCACTGCCTTGTCCTCTTCTAAAAGGTAACAGGTCAGGCAGTCCTTAATATGGAAGGTTTTCCACATTGCTTATAGTTTTCTCTGCCCTTTCTTTTTGAGGCTCGGACTCCTTCAGTTTTGGAACCATTTTGACTACATCTGTAGGGTATTAGCTGAGACAGCACTGTTGTTGTTGGCGCACATTGGTGGAAATTCTGAGAAACAAATCCAGTACTAGCAGAATTGAACGACAGCAAATCCAAACAGAGAGATTTGCATAATGATGGTACAGTTACCAAGATCATGTTCATCATGTTCATCAGATCTTTTCAGCCAGATAATAGTCATGCTGGCAATCATGTTCATCAGATCTTTTCAGCCAGAAAGCAGAGGCAGAAATTGTACTATCAGTCCTGAGCATTTACAACAGATGAAACTGTGCTATGGACAGTAACCTTTTCATGCCAAAAAACCATGGCTCTCAGCCAATACACAGTGCTTTTACAAACTGACCTACAATTACAGTGTAATATATTAAAGGCTGAATAGCAATGTGGTATTGGGATCCTGTGGCTACTTTCTAATCCTCACTTAAATAGTTTTTGGCCTTCCTATGCAATGCGTAAAAGGAGAACTTCTGCATTTCCTTTATATGGAGTTGAGCCAATTCCACATTTACACATCACCCTAGAAGTAATTTAAAAAGATAAGCACTATTTGGCATTTCCTGTGACATGCAAAACCACTTTATGGGTTTTTTTGCAGTGTGGCCAGAAAACCATGTGATAGCTGGCATCAATCAGCTGCTACTAAGAACAGAGCACTTGTACACAGCAAGATTTCTTAGCAGTTGGCTCCCTGGAATTTAACATACTTTGTTGCAGTTTAGGACAGTCACAAAGTTGGTAGGGCTCAGGACTGCGATTGATCTGTGTTGGAGAAGCACATCTGCCCACATCAGTCGGTTGTCTCATGCAAGTCAGTGCTCTTCTGCCCAAGTTCTCTAGGTGTACAATGGAAATAACAGGGGCCAACCTCACACAGATTTAGTGAGAAATCACTTATTGACTGCATAGCAAGTGTAGTAATAGTAGTAGCCAAAGAAGTTCAATACTGTCCTACTGTAAACCAGCCTTGAAAGGTGCCTTCCCTAGGACCCAGCACACAGAATATGTCCTATAATTCTAATGGCTGGAACTGATGCTGTAGATCAGGAAAAAAAATAGTCAACTCCTCTTCTTTGACAATATAAGGATCAAATTAGTTGAGATACTGGGAGATCTGTGACCTGATCCTACCAGTGTTTTTTCAATAAAATACATTTCAGGCATGGCATGGGCCTGACTCAGGTTGGAGTTATGGAGAAAAGGGTTGAAGCTTTCCTCCACCAAACAGTTTTGCCTACTGACTGCCCCCCCGACATGGGTGCCTATCTTCCCCCCCATTTCCAAATAGGAGCACAGGTGTGTGTGTGGGGGGGGGGACGGACGATAGGCAAAACCATGCAGAGGTAGAAGGATAAAATCTCCTCCACCCTTCCCACAAGTCCCCAAATCAAACCAAGAATTTCCCTTCAAAAGACACAGACAGATATATGAACTCTGTCTTGTCTAATGTGATCCTAGATCAGATGTGTGTATTTTGAAGGTTCATTTTCTTGTTTTTAGTGAAATTGAAAGTGAAGAAATGTTGTGTGAAAAATAACCCTGCACCACAAGGAAGCTGTCACCCAGCTGGTGCAAGATTAGCGGCCGCCATAATAAAAGAACAGCGTACATTTCCATATTGTTGCAGAAATCCATTCATACAGGCTCAGCATAAAACAATTATGCCAGATGCACCGCACATGAAAAGATTCCTTCACACAATGCCTTGCCAAACCTGACAGGGGCTGAATTAAGAGAAAGATCTTATAAGAGATCATTATCAGTGGTATTTAACACCACATAAATTGAGTTGCATCCCATCCTACTTTGGATATTTACTGGCAGTGTTAAGATTTCAAATGCAGATTTTATTCATGTATTTTGGCACAGTTCCAACATAAAGGCTTTTAGCAAAAGACAGTGTAATTAGTTAAGGCTATGACTAGATATGGCCTCCCAGTTGATTCTAAGGCAGTCCTTTTGAGATAACTAAAGGGCAAAGTAGAAGAAACAGATGACAAGATATAGGTTTGAATATAATCACTGCTTTCCAAATGTGTATTGTTTCTCACTGTAAGCAACTTAATGCACTGATACCAGCAGAATCGTTAAAAAGGGTCTGGGAGATTGTTTTAATGTCAAAGTAGCATAATATATGAAGTACTCCCAAAATGAGTGCTTTTCATTATGTTTTTGAATCTACAATATCAAGGCAATATACAAACAAATGCATTTTTAATGTTATAAAGAACAGGCTGGATTCTCTGCCCTATTTGGCCCTGGCCCCCGCCTAGTGGAACTCTCTGCCAGAGAACATCCGGGCCCTGCAGGATTTATTGCCTTTCTGGAGGGCTTGTAAGACAGAGATGTTCCGCCAGGCTTTTGGCTGAGGACAGCGACAGGACAGCAAGTAGTCTGGTGCTCTCAGGGTTTCCCACACACACCCCTTACCTGCCTCCTTGGAGGCTCTGTGTAGTTCAATTTTTTTCAAATTATTTGCCACCTTGAAATTGTTTTCTACTTATGCATTTGTACTGTATTTTAACGCTAGCTTAATTTGACTTTGGAACACTGCATTTTTATTCCGTTGTAAGCTGCCCTGAGCCCTGCTTGCTGGAAAGGGTGGCCTAAAAGTCTACATAATAAATAAATAAATATTCATGTTACACACTAGAGGTCTCCAAGATGGTAGCCTTGGGTGCCACAATGCCCACAAATGTGTTTCCTGTTGTCCACTTGCCTGGGGTCAAAAACACCTTTCCCTCAAAGGAAACAGCCAATCCTGGCTTTCCTGAACTTCACCTGAGGTGCTTCAAAAGACTCCAGGAGGCATCAGCTTTGGGTCTGCAAGTACTACCCACTTGGAAACGGCTGCTCAGGAGGGTGCTTGGCTTCTACTTCCCACCCTTTTCTGTAATTTCCTCCCATGGCAGTCATTTTGCAGTGGTGCCCATTACTATTTCTCAAAATTCCAAAAGTGCCCACAGGCTCAACAAGGTTGAGGATCTCTGTTATACAGTGTTGTTGTTAATTGTTTTTATATTTAAAAAAAAAAAAAAGAAGAAGAAGAAAGTTTCCTGCACAGTTCGGACTATACCAGCTGACAGTCTTATGAGTTATTTTATCCTAGCAGGTATAGAAGTGTACATGAAATGACAACATGTTTTTAAAAATCCAGTTGCCAGAGCACGTGCAGTAGTAATTCCATATCCTTGCACTCTGACACCTAAACAGAGAATCCTGTCTGTGCTTTGGCTTTCACATGACTGAACAGCATAAATAAATAAATCTGGTCAGCCTTCATTCTGCCCTTTCAAAATGTAAGAGTACAAAGTGTAAGAAAATTAAGGAACACTCATGCAATGAAAAACAAGCAATAAAAGCCAGGCCTGGATCAATGGTCTGCCAGAGAACTGTATGGCAAGAAGGGAGAATTATTTCATGGGCCTCTTGCTTGCTTCCCTGTCCAAGTTTCTGATCAGCAGAAAACAGCAGCCTTTCCTTCCTGCCTAAACCCACCAAAGCCAAACATAATCTCTTACTTGGGTTTTAAACTCTGTGGAGGCTCCATACTCAAACAGAAATGTCACAACATCATTGTGACCCTGTTGGGCAGCGAAGAGAAGAGCAGTGGCACCAGACTGAAAAAGACGGACATGAAGCTCGTATTATTATCCGTGTTGCATGAGATTTCATTTGAATTAAGAATAAAATGCATTTTATACTTTTAACAGGAAGTCCAGTGCTACCTGAGGTCTTAGGTACACTCAAAGTCTCAGCTATAGCAAGAAATATTCTTGAAGAATGGCACACTTTGAGAATCCCACTTATAGGATTATCAACATTTCCCCCTGGCAAAGTTTCTATTAATTTCTCCACTTCTCATTGCACAGACAGACAACCATAAGGAAAGCTGAAGAGGCTACATGTCTGTATCATTCCAATTTTAGTACATGTGCTGCAGAACCAAGTACTGAAGTTGTTCCATTTCTGTCATGTAGCTGTGAGGGAAGAGGGGGGTGGGCCCAGAGTCTCTGTTCCATGGAATGCCCCTTGCACGTTGTGCAAGGCCTTGCTAAACATCATGACAGACACCACATGGTCTTCATTCAGGTTTTATTGTATATCACTGTTTTGGTGAATGCAAGACGTTATCCAGATTCTGTTAACTGAGGCCACAGTCAGACATGCCTTTAGATCCAACTCAGCTGTGAATGCCTGATGGATCTAAAAGGCACGATCAGACAGCAACATCTGGGAAAGGTCCCACAGTTGTTGGCACCCTGTGCTGCTTCACCACGGAAACAGAGTTAAAAGACACCGGGGAAAGTCTACAGACAGACTTTCCCCAGTCTGATTGCTCAAGCATGCTCTCAAGACGTCAGGATTGTCTGATCATTCCATCCCAACTCGGTGCCGTTCCCCCTCAGTGCAGAGGTGCAATCCCTCATTTATGCAGATGGGAAACAAACAGCAAAAAACAAAACCGCTTGCACGCAGTGGCATCTGATCACACAATGACAGGCTGAGAGATGGGAAACAGCAAAACACAAAACCGCTTGCACACAGTGGCGTCTGATCACACAATGACAGGCTGAGCCCACAGCACAAAGGGATATGTGATCTCACAACTGCAAGTCAGATTCCTCCAGAGGAAATGGGGGGCCCCCCCGCTCCAAATGGCATGTGTGACTGCAGCCAAAGAAGCCTTGAATAGGAACATCTATGGGTGGGCACAGAGAACCATTAATGACTTACAGATGTGTGCATGTTACCATGTGGTAAGCCAGTCATCTTTACTCAAACAGAATGTGTTTGTGGATATATTTTTAAAGTAATTTTGTAAGTACAGTCACAGTTGCACTAGCTTTATTCTCTGAAGTCCCTTTATCAGATGCTTAAATACCTGGAGATAATGCAACTATTCACATACATTAAGTGCTTTGCTGGATGAAAGCCTTATAGCAGACATTCTAGCCTACTTGAATTCATGTAAGAATACCTATTTGTCCACTGTTAGATCTGGTGATGTTGTAATTTGTAGATGCTGCCATAGGGACCAATATCCTAATTCCAGTCACCAAGATCAGTTGGACTGTACCCTTTCCTGAGAGGACTTACATACAGTAGTTCATGCCTGAGTTATGTCCCCTTGGCCATTGTACTGTTTTCTACACAAGACTGCTTTCGAGCAGCAACAACTGGTACAGGATGCAGCCACCTAATTGCTAGCGTGCACTAAGTAGACAAATATATACTAATTTTCTGCTGACTTCGTTGTCTGTTTGTTTAGGTCTTTAAAAGGAAAACTCCATTTTTTGAATTGAACATGGAAACACACCAAGAAATTAAAGGATCGTCTACTCCTTTGTGATTTTTGCTGAACATGAAGAACTGCCTTGTAGGCACTTCATTGTATGCCATTCCCACTAGAAGTCATTTGATGGACACATTGGATAGGGTCTCTTCAACAGTGGGGACAAGATTATCTCCCTAGGAAGTCTCTTTCGTGCCTTCCCAAACAGCATTTTCCCATGAGTTACGGCAGGGGGTGTGTGGGGGGGTTAAATTCACCTTCGGCATGGTGGTCAGCTGTACCAGGCTCAGAGCCTGGGAGCCCCAGCAGCTTCCTCAAACCAGATTGGGCCCAGTGACAGCAAAGAAGCCTGGGAGCCATGGCAGGCCCGGAAGCAGTGAGTCCAGTGGTGGCAGCAAAGCCCGGGGAGCCAAGGAGGAGTCTGCAGGAGAGCCCAGGAGCCCTGGCAGGCCCACTGAGAAAGTGGATGGGGAGACGGGGATTCTCCCGCTGTGAGCCTCGTGGGCACACACTTGCTAATAAATAACCAGGTCAGCCTTTCTACCTACCTGTTTTTCATCAGTTTAAAATCACTACTACTGTTTCAGGATTATTAGTATATAGTTTCTGAGAAATGCTGATGCAAATCTCCAAAGACTATGTATCAATTCAAAGACAGACTATATACTACTGGAGGGTATTTTCCATGACATTCAGCATTTACGCTATTTCGTCCTTCATCCATGCCTCCATGAAAAAAGTATAAAGCTTTTCTAACACGGAGAAATGGTCTGAGAAAGGGTAACCTCTTGAATTAGTGTCTGCCATTTCACTGTGAAAGATACAGGGATCCTACTGGGGGAGAATCCAGCAACCTTATTAATCATTAAAATTCTCTTTAGGTTCAAAGAACAAAAAGCCCTCCCATATTGGCAACTGCAACTGAAACTCTGCATACGAAATGGAGAAGGCCATATCCTGCATCCTGCAGTCCCTTTGAGACATGCAGTTAAAAGGCCAGCATGAAAGAGGATGATTAAGATGTACCATCACTGGGGGATATTTATCTCTGATTGGGTCACACTAACCCTGAGCATGATTACTGTTGCCTTCTCTTTGTAGTTTCATGGCAATAGGCCCTTCCTGATTATGAAGCCTGACATGAGCCCTAGAGCAAGAAATTGCTATCCTGGTTGTGAGTAAACAAGGAAGTTCAGAATGCCAGTGCCATCGTTCCCACTCATTACTGTTTTCGGTCATCAGTTAAAGATACAGTGACCTTCAGAAACTGCTTGGTCAGAGGTACTAGCCAGAAACCAAGCCTGCCAACTCCTTGCACAGCAATGTCCCCAACATGCAGAGGTGAGCTCAGTGATTCTGGGGCCCAGAGCAAAAGGCGAGGATGAGGCCCAAGAATCACTGCCCCCCTGAACACCTCCCACCATGGCCAAGCAAGGGATGGTCCTTGCTCTGTGTGAGGAAGGCAGGTGCCACCACCCAACTGCCTGCCTGATGCCAGACAAGGTCCCTCCTTTGGGGGGGGGGGCAGGCTGCGGCTGGTTGTGGGGCCTGGGGCACATGCCCTGGTTGGCTGCTGGCTAAGAGCAGCCCTGCCAACAAGACATCCATTACTGGTGTCCAGAAACACCACCAGACAGAGGACCAGACCCTCCACTGCTGCTGTGGGAGACGTCGCTCCCCGCAGCCCCATTCCCACCTACAGAAGCCTGGCAGCCTTCCGGGCAACAACACAGGGTCACCACCTAGCACCACAACTCCAGGTGCAGGCAGAGGAACCAGCTGGGGCCCAACACTGGAACAGCCCAGAGAGGACAGCAGCCTCCGCAGCCAGACCTGAAGCCAGGGCAGGGCCAGAGGCCTGTACAAAGGCAAGCCACAGCAGAAGTCAGGGCAGGGCCAGGGCAAGTAAGCCCAACAGCAGGCCTGGACTTGGGAGGACCAGGGAAAAGCAGGACTCCGGACTGAGGGCTGGCAGCCTTCACCTGCCAACTCCCGGTATAGCGGATAGGGCAGGAGGGAGGGCAGCCGGGGAGAAGAGCCATCCAGCAGCCCAGGGAAGGGGTGGCTCTTTAAAGGCAAATTCCTGGGAAAGACCAATGGGGAGAGGGAGATGCAGCTCTGGTGTAGCAAGAGCTGTGGCCCTGGGGGCAGAAGAAGGAATAAGGTGGTACAATCCCCTTCCGTTTGCCATTCTGAGGCCTGGGGAGACCTGCCAGGGACACTCAGGAGAGGAGATGCCTCATAACTCTGGTCCTGGGGACAGAAGCATGAATAAGGTGGTACAATCCCCTTCCCTTTGCCATTCTGAGGCCTGGGGAGACCTGCCAGGGACACTCAGGAGAGGAGATGCCTCATAATTGACAACCCTGAAATACGGTCACAAAGTCTCCACACTATAATAGCAGGTCTATACACAAACCGTTACACTCCGCAACGGTCTCTTTGAGAAATCTGTCCTCTAATGCAGAATTTTACAGTACCTCTCTCTGAAGATTGATGTCAGCTCCTTGTAGCACCAGTTCTCGGACGCATTCTTTGTGGCCATAGTATGACGCTACCATGAGAGGTGTTGTACCAAGCTGGGGATTAAAAAATACAGGATCACGAAATTGCGGGGGAAATCGGGCGAAGCCGCGAGTCAAAATGCAGCCCCACAGCTTCGGGTGTGAAACGGACCAATAGTATTGGGGCAAACGGCGGCGCAACATCAAGGCAGCTCTAGTGCGAAATCAGCCACACACACAGAGGAGGGGTCAGAGGGCAACTCCAAGTTTAAGACAAAGAGAAGCGTCCCATTCAAGGATATAACACCTATACACACTTAGAGTGATGTAGTGCCCCCCCCTCCAATGTCCAGGCGGGCTGAGTCGCTCACTCCAGCAAGCAGATGTGACTCTCAAGCAGTCTCAGTAGCCCAATTAGTAAAATATTAAAATGAGGTGCAGCACAGATAAATCACAACATCCTCATTCCTCTTGTCTTTCCAGTCTTCTTGATCATCTGCTTGTAAAGGTCCTTAGCAACACTCAATGACAGTTAAATGATGTCTGATTATAAATTTCCCACAATGCAAACCTTTCTCTGCTTTCACTATGCCAAACCCTTGAGCAATGTTGTTATAAAAACGTGTCATGTTCTGATGATGTAGAGACTGCAAGCAGTACCCCTTCACTTCTCCCCCCATGCTATATAATCCCCATTTTGTCTTTACACCTCATACCCCCATAGCATCGTTTGCTTTCTTCGAAAGGCTCTTTTAACAGAGCTGTTTGAGGACCAAACTATTTAACTGCAGAGTTTGAAGGGTAGGGGTGGTAAAGTTTATAACCTGGTGTTGTTTTTGTACACAGGGCTTTGAGCAGTGAGTCTGAGTTTATGACTAGAGCTTCTATAATCAAAACCATTTGCCAGCAGAGCTTAAGGCTCCAGTCATACACGAGGATATGGGTTAGCAGTACTCTGCATAAAATTCATTCCAGGCTTTAACCATAAAGATTGTTCCAAGAGATCAATATTATAGCCCATTCAGGTCACCAATGCGCACTGAATCCAAGACCACAAACCAAGGGACTTCACACATATTTCCTGCCGTCCTGCAGCTCCCCCTATAAAGCCACTGAAGGCTGTAGAAATCGTGATGATAATGTTATGCAGCATGGAGGAATTGCCTCCCCCTCAACTCTTATGCAAGCTCTTACACCTTAATAGAGCTTGCCCTACTCATGTGACAGTGAAGTCAGAAAATTCATCCAGTGCCCCCTTCTTGCTGCAGCTCCTCTCAACCTCAGTGGTATATATTGTTCTCCCTCCAATTCTCAGCACCAGCTTTACTATGGGGAGTACAACAGCAGCGTTGTTAGAGGAAGGGAAGATCCACTTCAACAAACTCCCTCTAGGAGCTCAAATCCAGTTCTATATTTATTATCATTTTACTGGTATTAATAAAAGAATGTTATTAATACCTAGCATAAGTAATTTGTATGTACACTGACGATGCATGTCCATCCAGAATACTCAGGCTACATTTTTAGAACAGCTCAAGCAGGGGACCCGCAAGGACTTACAGGGGCATCTTATTTGCCTCTCCTCCACCATTTTCCTTTTCCTTTTCTGAAAGCCTGTATTTTTTACCTGCTTCATTTTCTCCTTCCCACTCACCAGCCAACCTAACTGTATCTGTTTCCCTGTCTTCAGCTTTCCCTCCTTCTCTTTCACTTGTGCAGTGCCAGCTGCTGGGCTGGGCACAGCTGCTTGGTGCCAGCTGGGCTGGGTCCAGTTGCATGATGGGAAACCTCACTTTCTCCTCTACCCTCCCCATACTATTGCCTCTTTCTTTCCTCCTGCAAGCCCCCATATCCTCATCTTTCCCTGTTTCTTTCTCTTTTTCCCACCCATCAACCAACTTACATTATATCTGCTACCCCATCTTCAGCTACATTTATTATTTATTTACTTCCTATATACCTCACCTATCTACTCAATGGGAAGCTAAAGCCACTTCTATCATTCTCCTCTCCTCCATTTTATACTCCCAAGAACCCTGTCAGGTATGTTAGGCTGACAATACATGACTGGCTCAATGTCCCTCACTCTCAGTGAGGTTCCATGGCAGAGTGGGGATTTGAACCTAGGTCTCCCAGATGTTAGTCTGAAACCATAACCACTACACCACACTGGCTTTTGTGGTTGCTACTGATCAGTAGCAAGCAGAGTATCTTATGCAACCTGAGTGGTAGCAAGTCATCTGATGGTCGCTGCCACACTCAGTTTGATGACTCCTCCTTTAAAGGCCAAAACAGCCCAGGAAAGGGCCCTGTCCCTTTCTCCTGCCTCTCACTGAGAGAAACCAATGCTTCAAAGTCAGCAACATTGTTGTGGCCAACTGCAGCTGCATTGTTGTTGCCTGAGGGGTGAGCCACTGTGACTGCTCCTCCCCCCATACCCTCCGCCTATTTGAAACCTGCCTGAGGGGGAGAGCCAGCAACAGTAGCTGCTGGCCTTCTCCTTGCTGTCCTCCTCATCTGCAGTGGCCAGGCAGGTGTGATCATCCTTCTTCCCTTCCTGCTATCTTCCCCACAAGCCTGCCTGCATTCAGAGAACCGTTCTCTGCGCTTGTGCAGCCAACTCTTCTCTGTTTGGGTTTTTTTCTGCCCCGCCCTTTAAGTAGCTTTAGGATTTTTCTGCAAGCCTGTGGGTTACCTCTAATTTGGAGAAACATCTATGTTCTGTTGCCCTGATGCGGAGATTTAGATGTCCGCAGATAGGGGCGCATTTGGAAAATAGATGTATATATATTATTTAATAGATAAGACTCATCACCCCAGTTCCTACATTGACAAATAATCAACCAAGGTTACAAAAAACACAGAAATAGAAACTCCGTACTAAGAATTCAATGCTATTCTAATCATACCATGGCATTAGTATTAATAATAAATACTTTTCTCTATCTAATCTAACAGCATTATTTTTAGTGAAAACCATATATGTATCCATATCTATCTAATGCTCTATCTAAGTATCCTCTATCTAATCTAACAGCATTATTTTTTTGTGAAAACCATATATGTATCCAAGTTGCATATAGGAAAGGGGACATTTATACATGTCCACAAAGGGATGTATGCATTCTGATCCTAGAACTGTCAACTCCAGGTTGGGAAATTCCTGGAGATTTGGAAGTAGAGCCTGGGGAGGGCAGAATTTGGGGTGTGGAGGGACCTCAGCAGGGTATAATGCCATACAGTCCTCACACCAAAGTAGATGTTTTTTTTTCAGGGAAACTGATCTCTCTATTCTGACCTGTAATTCTGGGAGATCTCCAGGTGTCACCTGGAGGTTGAAAAAAAAAATAACTAAGAGTCAATAAAGATATGTTGCAAAATCATTTAGTATAGTAATTCTGTAGAAAATTTTCTTCTATTATCACTCACACGCAACGAATGCTGCGCAATGTAAACAATTCATTTCACAATAATTGCTTTACTTGAGTGTGTAGCAATCACAATTCTTATCACTAGAAGGAAGAAGATACATATCCAATTATAAACATAGCTTAAAAATCATAATAAACCATTACACTCAAAACTGTCTCTTACATTACTACTTATCAACTCTTGAAGGAAACATTCCATGTTGACTCTCTAATAACAGAACCCAAGGTCTTCACAGTGTATTGGCTGGATTAAGAATTTTGGCATAGAACGTAAATCTCCTCACGTCTGGTATTGTTCCCACAGAGTGGTTTTTGAAACTCACAATCTGTCACTCTAAACATGGTTATAATGTCCAGCCACGGCTGCTAAGGCTTGACATTGAATAAAAAAGGTTTTGATGTTTATATAGACTGTTAATATGTGAAAGTAATAATATAGATGGCATTTTACAGTTGGGTTTTTATAAATAGAAAATAAACACACATGGATACACTAGCACTATAAATGCTGTTTACATAGGCAGACTGTGGCTGGTAGCAATTAGCAGTGGAGGCTTTATGTTTGGCTTCTAGAATCCAGCTAATACATTGTGAAGAACTTGGGTTCTGTTATTAGAGAGTCAACATGGAATGTTTCCTTCAAGAGTTGATAAGTAGTAATGTGACAGTTTTGAGTGTAATGGTTTATTATGATTTTTAAGCTACATTTATAATTGATTGTGTATCTCCTTCCTTCTAGTGATAAGAATTGTGATTGCTACACGCTCAGATAAAGCAATTATTGTGAAACAAACTGTTTACATTGTGCAGCATTCGTTGCGTGTGAGCGATAATAGAAGAGAATTTTCTACAGAATTACTACAGTAAATTATTTTGCAACATATCTTTATTGACTCTTCGTTAGTTTTGTCACGGATGTTGTTTTTGGATTTCCACTTCCTCCCGTGATCTCTCATTTTTGGCTGCTGCTGCCAACTGGAGGTTGGCTACCCTAGATTCTACATATGCTTGCTTTGGAGTAACTTCCAAGGACATACCCCAGGGAAAGCAGGCATTGTATTAGCTAATCACACCTCTAATATGCCCACAACTAATAGCCCAGGCTAGCATGATCTCAGAAGCTAAGCAGCGTCAGCACTGGTGGGTATTTGTATGGGAGACCGTCAAGGAATATGAGGGTCATGATGCAAAGGTAGGGAATGGCAAACCACCTCTGAACATCTCTTGCCTTGAAAACCCCACAAGGTCTCCATAAGTCAGCTGCGACTTGATTGCAAAAAACCCCCCAAAACAAAACCGTTGTTTAGGGTAACATTGTTCATTTATAAAATTTTGCTCCAAAGTAACAAACACTTTAAAATCTTACTTATATTTTTCAACAAAGTGCAGAAGTTAATGTGTATTTAAGTTGGTTCTTTCTCCACAGAATAAGGCCACACTAGATAGTATACAGGGCACTTCTGAACAGAAATACACACTTCTGAGCCCGCTCTCTTCTGTGGGCTCAGAAGGGTGTGTAACTCTCCTTAGGATGGGACTGTCATAATAGGATCTCTCCTTGCAGGTTTTTTAAAAGGAAGAGTAGCTGAGGAAAGGGATGGATGATGGCCACAGCCTGTGCCCTTTTCCAGATACAACTCTGCCCTTCTTGGACCTTATTTGCAGGCACCATACAGGCATCATATGCAACGTGTGTGTGTATTAGGAAAAGTCACAGGAAAAAGAATAAAAATTACTCCTCCTCCAGTGCCATGGCCTTGATCCAAACTGAGGCACTACACAACTTCCTTTAATTATGTACAAAACCTGCAGGATTTCCAGTCACAAATTACCCAGCAATTCACCCAGTTTGACCCACAGATGCAAAATCAGGCTCTTGTCATTCATCCAGTGTCCTTACACTGTCTTTGCAGTCTACATCCACACGTCCACTGTTTAGCAGTAGCTGAAGAAGAGCCAGGTTTCCCTTCCTTGCAGCCCAAAATGCTGCATTTGCAAGTGGCGTCTCCTTCTGTTAAAACAAAATAAAAACACAACAAAATCACAAAGATCAGTTTCACATTACTATTATGTACAAACAAGTGTAGATTCAAGAAACACCACCAATAAGAATCTTTTTCTGGCAAACGTTCTTTTGTTTTTAATAAAACAAATATTTCCACTTTATTTTTTAAAGCCATGAACAGAAATACAGCCATCCCTTTTTTGACCCCCTGTCTTGCCAATCTGTGATCTCCTTTGGTTTTCGTTCTAGGTCCCACAGGAGAGGAGGAGGAGGAGGAGGAGGAGGAGAAGAGGAGATTGGATTTATACCCCGCCTTCACTACCCAAAGGTGTCTCAGAGCGGCTTACAAACTCCTTTCCCTTCCCCTTCCCCTCCCCACAACAGACACCCTGTGAGGTAGATGGGGCTGAGAGAGCTCTTGACAGAAACGGCTCTTTTTCAAAAACAGCTGTGCCAGAGTTATGGCTTGCCCAAGGTCATCCAGCCAGGTGCAAGTGGAGGAGTGGGGAATCAAACCCAGTTCTCCCAGATTAGAGTCCGCGCACGTAACCACTACACCTCCAGTCACTTAGTGCAACACTTACAAATAATCATTTATAGCAAGTGGATAGTCCTGGCAATACATTTAAGATAAACATACTTAATATTGTCCACAATAAACATATTCCAAGAGATCAATGACTTTTTTCCGATATGGCAGTGACATGAAAGATGCAAGTATTTTTTAAAAGTTGTGATTTTTTTAAAAAATTGTAATTTATAAGCATGCTATGGAGACATCAAAATGATTTCAGCTAGAATCAGTCCCACTGTAGAAAGGATGTGAATAGCTACAGTACTCCCCTTTGCAGGGGAGTAGGATAAATATTCACCAAATATTTAGGTGCCCAGACACCTAAATCAGGATGAACGCAGGAGGAGCAGGAGATGTGTTCAGTCCCATTCAAAGGAAACAACTTTGTTGTACTCCCCCAGCCTTCCCACCATCTCCCTTGTGGGTCTGCACTGCCACAGTTAGGAAGTGGCCAGGGCAAACAATGCAGTCATACCACCAGGATTTCCTTTCAGCATTAAAGTTATTTTCTTTGAAATTCAGGTTGTTATTGTACAAATTGATGTGTTGCCCTGATAAATCATTTTCTCATTTCTGCTATATATTTGGATTAATAATGATGATGATGGCGCTCACCATGTTTGAGCAGTATTGATAGGCACTTCTTGCATTACTGAGCAGCAAAAAGTGCAATATTCACATGACAAAGGTTTAGCTCCTTTCAGATGAGACACAGCACTGAAGGCTTATGATGTCTTACTCATAAACTTAATCTTTTGCCATTGACAGTTCTCATAAACTTTAATTCTGGTTCTAATCAGATCAGGCACCTGATTAGACTACAACACACCCTGTATGAATTAGAAACAAATGAGAGGATGCATGGGGAAGGGGAAATTCCACTTGTCCCTAAGTGCTCCCTGTCCAGCTTTCTCCCCCTCTATGGCTTTGCTTAAGTCCCCTTCTGCTGCTCTTATCACCACTTACTCTTCCCTTCCCTCTTGCTGGACTTGTTCCCTCTCCCTGCCCACCCTCCAGCCTTACCTGGCTCCTCCTGCCTGCCTACCTCTCCACTTCCACCAGGACAGCAAAGGGAGGGAGGGAGGGAGGGAGAAGCAGGTTGTTCTGGAAGTAACCCAGCCAGCTCTAGCTTCCTCTTTCAACTCTATTCTAGCAGTCATCACCACCAGAGGTCGATTCGGGGGGGATCGCCGTTCCCCCAGGTGAGGTGCGGGGGCGGGGCACATGATGAAGCCCCACCCCCCGCTTCCGGCCGCCCCGCTTCCGGCCCTCATTCAGCCAGGAGGAAGCAGGAGAAGAGGGAGGGTAAGTTGCTTCCTCCTCGCCTCTCCCCACCCCTGCCTGCCTG